TGTGATTTACAGCCTCTGAAAACCTGCTGGAGGGTCAGTAATGAGTCGATTCTAACATGATGGTACAAAACATCACTTCCCAGAACATTCTACTTACCCAGCAAAACCAAGCATTTTACAGAATTACATTTGTCTACTTTTGTACATTTCAATCCACTACCTAGAATTAAGCAAATACTGACAGCAGTTTTCATACTCTACAAACTACCCTAAACACAAGGGGTTGAGCTAGGGGAAAGTAGATAAATGAACAATTCTGCTTTCTTTAGTCAAAGTAGGCAGAATAACAATTAAAATACTCCACACTGCAAACAAATCTTATTATGTCCCCACTAAATACACTTCAATATACTGCACTTACATAAAGAATTAAGGTCTTTCAAAATCTGGAGAAGTCAGGAATTCATCTTCTACATGCTTCAGTCAGACCAGTATGCTCCTCCCATCAGTTATTTCCACATGTTTACTCCTGGAACACATTTTTCAACCTCTGCCCTCCTTCTCATCCCTTTTTAGATTATCAGCATCATGTCCTTAAAAAAATCCTGTGCCAATCCTAATTCATGTACACACTGCAGACTCCCTACAGTTCATTTATTTGTAATTATCTGTTGAATTGTTTATCTTCCTCCATTAAACCACCTGTTGTTGTTATGTTCCACTGAATCAGAACTGACCCACAGCTGACCCTCAAGTGGATTTTCAGAGGCACTTAACCACACAGGGCTTTGTCTGCTTTGCACGGATCTATACCCCAGCAGCTCACCCAGTAACTAGTATACAGCTTTTCAGTATACTACCATAGTAAATCCTTAAGAAAAAGAAATGATTGGCTGTAGTAAATCTAAGTGATTCAGCTCTGTTCCAGACATGAAATGGGAGGTTAAGTTGACAGACAAGACTCATCTATGTTACAACATTTCATAAAGATACTGTAGTCTCAAAGGTATTCTAGGAAGAACTGTATGATTCCTCCTCTTCCTTCTGGCTATGGAGTTGAAACTGACTCATAGCTGACCATACAGCAGATTTTACCAGGCTGTAAACAGCACTGGAGGAGACTGTCCCCCTCTTTCTCCTGTGGAGCAGCTGGTGGATATGAACCATCCACCTTGAGGTTGGCAGCATAACTCCCTACCAATTTGTAATGTGCTGTTGAGTCAGGATCAACTCAAACCCCCTGCAGTGGGTTTTCAGAGGGAGTAAATCGCTCAGGAGACGAATGCCCATCTTCCTCCCAAAGAGCAGCTGGTGGAATCAAACCAGGGGCCTTCAGACTGGCTGACCAGCTCCTTATCAGCAGGCCACCAGAGCTCCCTACCAACTAGAAGCTCAAGAATTCCTCAACTTAGTCAATTAATACTCACGTGGACAAACTGAGTGAACAGGACAGTGGTCAGACTGTCAGTTCCAGGTCAGAAGTCTTAATCCCAGCTCTGTCATCTCCTAGCTAGGAAACCTAAGAGCAGCACCTATCTTATAGGAGCTAAACAAGGAGTAAAGACTGTGCATGAAGAGGCCTTAATGCACTTATTATTGAATCTGCTGCAGAGTTCTGAAGGGAGGCAGTTTGAACCCACCAGCTGCTCCAGGAGGAAAAGATGAGCAATTTCCTCCTATGGGATATACTGCCTCAGAAAATCTGCTGGAGGGTTACCTATGAGTCGGTTCCGACAGATGGGACATTAACAACCACTAAACAAAAGACTTACATGACAGCAATTAACTACAACAGAGATGGATCCAGAGCTTATCTATTCAATACAAACATGCTGCATAGCCACTGAAGAAAGCACTAAAGGCACTGCGGTTGAACTGCTTGGTTGCTATCCTCAGCCTGCTAAATGAAGGCGGACTGAATCTACCAGCCTCTCTACAGAGAAAGATGTGGCAGCCTGCATCCTTGCAAGTTCACAGCATCAGAAGTCCTACTCAGTCTTAAAGCGTCACCAAGTCAAAATCAATTCAGAGGCATAGGTCTGGGTGGTTGAGGGGCACATGTTACATGCCATGGCTTGGATCAGGTACACCTTAGCCTTTAAATTGACACCCTTGCTCTTTAGAGGTCCTTAACAACAGATTTTCCCAAAGCAACTCATTTTTTTATTTCTTGACTGCTGCTTCCATGGGTGTTGACAACTTCAACCTTATCTCCGTTTATCAGGATATTGCCTAATGGTCCAGTGGTGAGACTTTTTCTTTTCTTGATGCTGAGATGTAATCCATATTGAAAGCTATAATTTTTGATCCTCTGCAGTAAGTGCTTCTTCATTTTCTGCAAGTAAAAATGTACCATTTCCAGAACACAGGCTGTTGATGAGTCTACCTCCAATTCTGATGCCACAATGAAGAATGATTCCTCTGAATTGTGGTACTGGAGTACTGACTATACCTTGGACCACCAAAAGAACAAAGTAACGAGGAAGTGTAACCAAAGTGCTTCTTAGAGGCAAGGATGGTCACAAGTAGTCTCACATAATTTTGACATGTTTCAGGAAGGGCCAGCTCGTAGAAATGGACCGAATGCTGGGAAAGGTCATGCTAGGTCAGCAAAAGAGAGGAAGACCTTCCAAGATGGACTCACAGAGTAATTGCAACACTGCATTTGATTGCAACAAAAGAAGCCTGTGATGATGGCACGGGAAGGGAAGGTTCCAATCTGCTCACAGGGTCACTACTCCGTGATATCTAACAGCTATTAGATGCCAGTTACCATTTTAGATACTAAGCAGTCTGTGAAGCCTGCTACCTTGAGGAAAAGACCATCATTAAACAAATACCTATCCAAGGACCTCAGACCCGCCTTTAATTGTTTTTGGTTAAGCATTCTTCTAGGTCGTATAACCCTGGTATGTCCACTTGCTGTACAGAGGTAACTCGCTGTTGCTGTGAAGATGACCACTGTGACACTGATGTGTCAAATGCAAGAATGGTTACCCATGGTGGACAGTGTTTGGTGGAGCTCCTCGATTAAAACTTAAAAGCTTAGAAGCAGGAGTGACATCCACTTCCGTAATAGCTTGCCTCTGGAAACTCTATGAACCTGGAGAAAGGATCAAAGTTTTACAGGTGTCCAGGTCTTTTGTTCATAGGGTCGCACCTAACAACAACAAGACATGTAAGCTGCATACTTTGTATGTATGGGCTTATGATTTTCTCAACTTCAAGGATCACTTAGTTAGCCTGTTCCACTAACATTTTAAGTTCCTATTTGGGAATGCCTGTAAATAGCAGGTATTGAGCAAATCTTTGCAGACGGATTTCAAAGATACAGATTTAGTCATCAGAATTCTGTAAATGGTATACTTCGGATAGGAAATGCTAACCTTTCTCCTGGTACATGAAATGACGAGTACGCAACATCGCATTGCCATTTAACAAAAACATATTTGTGAAAACAGTGTATGTGCCACAGAGTCGATTTCAACTCTCAGTGACCCTATCGAACAGCAGCAGAACGGTCCTGACAGCCTCCTAGGCTGCAATCTTTATGGGAGCAGATTGCCAGGCTTTTTCTCCCACAAAGTAGTCACAAGGTGACCTTCTGGTTAGCAGATACTTAATCACTGGACCACCAAGGTTCCTTAAATACAGGTATACCAGGCGTAACTTTCTCCCCTCATTGTAAACCAGTAATTTTTCAAAGGGACCTGGTTAAAGTTAGGAGAGTTCACCTACTACTGGCCAATGATTACCAGAAATTCTGCCTTCCAGGAGTAAAACACCCAAAATGACTATGACTTAATAACAGTTAAAGATACAGGATAAGATTATTTCAGAATGTGGGAGGCTGAAGGTTACAGTTCACCCAGCCAATGTAGAAAACACTGCCAGAGATTTGAGACTCAGATGTCATTTTATTTATAATCTATGTATCAGTCAAGTATGTTAAATAAGTTGTTTATATTTTTAATTCATTATCCTTGGGAGCAGGTATGTTGAAGACAGTAAGATTGACACAAGATAGATGAGGGTTGAGGGCTGTTGTACATAAGGTCACTACAACATCCCTGACATTAAAACCACCAGTTACTTTCAAATCAATTCCAGTTACAGCAATCCCATGCATGTCAGAGAATTATACCCCCATGGTTTTTATGGCTGTTTATTTTCAGAAATAGACAGCCTTCCTTCTGAGGCATCTGTTAAAAAAACAAACTCTATCATCAAGCTGATTCCAACTTAAGGCAAGCCTATAGGAGAGAACAGAACTGCCCTCACAAGCTTATGCTCCACTCACAGCCTTCTCACTGCTATTGAGTTCTGCCTAAAATAAATCTCCTCACTCTCTCATTTAGCTCAGACCCTGGTAAGACACCATCTTCACAGAGAGGGCTTCCTGAAACCACACCAAAAAATACTGTTTTTTCTGGCCAACTATCTGCTTTAATTTTCACATCCCAAAATATTTTATCTGCTGCTTGTATATTAGAGGGAGCTCTGGTGGACTAATGGGATGGAAGCTCTGCTGCCAACCCAAAGGCATGCAGTTTGAACCCACAAGCTAAACCACATGAGGAAGATCAGCAATCACCTGTGCAATTTACAGCCTCTGGAAACTTACTGGAGGTCAGCTAGGAGTTGATTCTGACTTGGAGGCACATAACAACAACTTAAAAGGCTATCAAGTCTCTTATCATCAAACTATAAATTCCTCAAGAATAGGGTTCTACCTTGTTCACTACCTGGAAAACCTGAAGTGTTCAACATTCAAATGTGTACCTGAACACATGAATTCTAAGACAGATAATTTTATTACTCAATTATTATAATATTCTTTTTTATATTCAAACACAAACTATTACAAGGAAAAAATGTAATATAACAAAGCACTTACTCGGTTGATCTGCATATGTTCTTAGAGGAACTGCAGAAACTCCTTGAAGACCAGGAGGTAATCGGCAGAAATGGCCTCTCTAGGAGAAAGAAAACAGATTTTCTATTATATAAAATATGAGCTCAAACAGGACTTCTAAAGGTCAGTGAAAACACAGAGGTGTTAGGGAAATCTAATAAATTTTGATAGTTCCTGTATCTTTCATTACAACATACAGATTACTTCTTTTTCCCTGTGACAAGTCATTTAAACTTTTTTAGTCCCAACTGCCACATTATCTTTCCACTCTGAACAGTCAACAAACCACTTCATTCTTGTCCTAATAAATGCATTCCATAGTGTTTTATTCAGTTTTTATAAAGTGTGGCTACTGTTTTCTATCAGTGACCACTTTAATGTCAAAAGTAAAGCTCTTCAAGTTCTAGGGTAAGTTCTTGAACAATCTAAATTTTGACAATTCTCCTGCAGTTATTGTTTCCAGAGTCTAATCCCCCATGTCTGTAGGCACAAAAAGAAATACAAATATCCTCTACTTTTCAAATGTTAACTTTATTTCGCTCTTTCACAAGACCTTAGTATTTGTCTCACAGGTACTACCCAACAACATTCATTTTTAAAAAAAATTGTTTTTCTGAAAACTGTAAAATTAGCGTCCACGGTTTATTCTGCTGAAAGAGAAGCCACAGCTCATCAGACTCGCATCACCAAGCTCCTTCTACACTTGGCAACTCTGCATCCTAACACTGACCTGCTGTAGTTTTCAACTGTGCTTTATACTGTTAAATATTTGGGTTTTGTGAGTAGACAAAACTTTTTCTTGGTAAGGGATTCCTCACATTACATTATTTTGGCTTACCCAAGGCTTCGTAGGAATGCTCTACGTTTGGGTAGCTGGAGAAACCTGTAATCCCTTTCACAGCAAGCGAATGGGAGTTGGTGACAAAACCTGTACTGGTGTAAGAATGCTCTCTATTCCAAGGTAAATCTTGTACCTGAAGTCAACAGGGCTACACGTGAGTCCTGAATTCTCGCCCCTGTTTTGCTGAGAGTCAAAAGCATGGCCACCCAAGCGGCATTATTTTTTAAAGGAGGTTTGCTAACTAATTAATTGGTGCAAAGTCTTCACCAATACAGTACGCATCCACCAAGTCACAAATATGCAATGTGGCTTGCATAAAAGGTTGTCTTTCTGTATTAAGCTACGACAATTAAAAATGCCAGTCTCTTGGGAGACCTGAGCAATGGTCATAAACTGAGCTTGAAACTGCAGGCACTGAAGACACCTTAGAGTTTCCAGGGTCAGCTGTCTGATTGACTGTATCGAGGTCTTTCAACATGTGGCCTCAAGGTTACCCACACAGCAGAAAGGATCTGATCATTCCAGGGAAGGGACTGAGATAAAGGAAAAGGCAGAAGGAATAAAAGGGTAAGTCCATACAGGACTGGCCATAAGGACTCTTCGGAGCCCCACCCCACACCTGAAAATGAGGCGGTTTCTCCGAGAGGTCTGACCCAAGCCGGAGAAGAGGTAAGTCCGAGTGGTCCAAGCAGGCCGCCGGCCTCTCCCACCACCCCTCCAGGGAGGCCGCCCCCCAGACCCATCAACGGACCTCTTTATTCGTGTTGCCTTGCACGAACCCACCCAGTCGGCCCTCACCTTGGCCAAGGAGTAATACACGCGACTCCAGCTCTGCATCTTGCCCCTGCACTTTCCTTGCCGCTAGTGCTTTCACCTCCGCCAAGAGCCGCCGCCGCCTCGCCAAGGTCTCCGGGCCCTACGCATGCGCAGGATCAGCCTGACGTCATCGCCTGGCGACAGCGTGATTGGCCCTACGGCAGGAGACGAGGCGCGCTAGCCGGCTCCGTGTCTTGCACTGTCGTAAAGAGTACCGCGCTTTGTGTCTGCAGCGCTGCTGCTGTTTGTTGTTGTCTACCAGCAAGGAGGAATTGACAAATAACAGACCCTCGTGCTCAATCTCTCTCTCTCTCACACACACACACACGAGAGAGGGGGAGAGATTAGTTCAGACAACACACACACACACACACACACACACACACACACACACACGAGAGGGGGGAGAGAGAGTTACTTCAGACCTAGAAGGTCAGCATTCAAGTCAACATTCTGCAGGCATAACAAGGCCCAGGAACACACCCTACATGAGCAGCCCAGGCATGCCCAGGTGTTATCTTTTAACAAGCTTTAAGTCTGCTAAGAATGTTTAGGGGTCGGTCATACCAGTGACCCCTTAGGTGACCATCTAAGAGGCAGTCATGATACAATGTGGTGAGCGACAGGATAATATCCATATGCATACAAGGAAGTCCAGTGAATACCACTATCATTCAAATTATGCACCAACAACTAGAGCCAAAGAAGAGGAAATAGAAGATTTTTACCAACTTTTGCAGTCAGAAATTGATCAAACATGCAATCAAGATGCATTAATAATAATAGGCGACTGGAATGTAAAAGTTGGGAACAGGGAAGAAGGATCAGTAGCTGGAAAATATGGGCTTGATGAGAAATGAGGCTGGAGATAGAATGATAGAGTTCTGCACATTCAATGATTTATTCATTGCATATACCCTTTATAAAAAACATAAATG